GTGGAGTTAGTTGGAAGGCTGAGAGTGACATAGGCTACTTTTACCGCGAGAGATTATAACATTCCCACCGAAAAACACATTAAAGTACAACTCAAAAAAATATTTATGATCAGAATTACTTGAAACGTAAGGGGGTAAAATAGGCCTTGAAAGTTTGTATGAAATCTACCTTTTTTGGGTTTTTTTGTAGTTTTAAACTTTTAGCGCGAGCGAAGCCGCGGGTTCTGCTAGTAGTATTATATATGCGAAAGTATTGTATATGTGTTTCTCCTTCACGCTCAAAATAGCTGGACGGATTTGGATATAATTTAGTATACATATTACTATAGAGACCGTGACCGTAGCTATCACATATAGGCTACTGTTAGACACCTCAGGACGCACTTAAGCGAAGCGAGGGTTAGTTGCTAGTATAGTTATGAATAGTTACAATATATAACGTATATATACTGGTGAATATAAACGAGTACGTTATATATTGTAAAATCCTCCAACCCGGACTTGGTCAGCGTGGTGGACTATGGCCTGATCCCCTCGTATTGAAGGGAGGCCCGGGCCCAGCAGTGGGGCGTTAAAAAGGACTGAATAAATCTTGTGTGGTGCTGGAAAACAAATTAAATTAGTAATTTTAAATGAAAGCCTGTTTGTGTTTGCAAACGAAATGTTAAACGTTGCAGCGGTTGCGTGCACTATGGGTGTTATCACAAACGTTGTTGGCTTCTCCAGTGACCTTAATATTTGTGGTACATTTTACAATGTATGTTGCTTATTTGATGAGTCCTTGTCTTTAAAAAATGTCTACATTTCTTACGTTCACTTTCGTTTTATTCCATGTTTTGTTCTTTGGTCGTAGAATAGAATAGGAAAATCACGCCAGTGATCGTTTTATTTTGTGGTGTAAAAGAAGAACAAACATACTTACGTATTTATAAAAAATAATTATTTATTTATTTAAACACTTTATTGCACACAAAAATAAAAATGATACATTCGTGGCGAAAATTAAGTAGTTTTGGTAGATAAAAATAAAATAACACCATATAAATATAATAATAATATATTTAATATAAAAAAGTCACATATATCCTTAACAGACAAAACTAACATCCTACTACTAAAAAATCCTACATCTAAAAAACAACTTATAGAACCTATTTCCGATTAGAAGCTATCTCAGTACACTTGCGAACAATGAGTCTGCGTCACGGTCATGACCGCTGTGATTGTTTCTCCCCATTTCCCCTTATATATGATAACTAGCAGCTCGCTTGCTCACCGAATATTGTAGCAAACATTTTAATTAAAACTTAATAGGAAATAGTCATTAAAATATCATTTATGACCTCGAATCTATTCAGTGTCATGGTGATAGTCTCCTCCTATTAATAGGCAATAAATATTTGCTTCATAATTAATAAGCGTTTACATGAATTTAGATAAATTGGATTTATATACGAAACGTTAGATAGGCCAGCCGTTAAAATATCTAAGACTCTGACCTTTCTGACTAATATATTTACAAATATTATTTGTATATGCTTAATTAAGAAAATCAGCTAAGCGAGTCGTTTCGAACTGCTATTTTTATCAAAAAAACTCTGAAACATGTATAGAATGTAGATATTACGGGTAACAATAACGCACCTCACGATCTCTGATTAGGAGCTATCTCCACGAGCGTACAGTTGCGAACAATACACCCGCGTCACGGTCATGATTTCAATGATTGCCATTCGATCCTCTCTTTGGTAGTCCTTATTGCGACCTACATTTTGAACAGTAATCGTTAATTATTGCTTCATAGCGATTAATAAAAACATTTGTACTAGGTATCTTATATAACTTTAGGTTATTGTTACACATGTCGGTGGTGCAATGTGGTCATAGCAAAGTCATATTTAGTATGATTGATAACACTACTATTATAAAGCTAAAAGTTTGTACGTGTGTATGTTTGAAACAATCGGACTGGTTTGAATGAAATTTGCTACATAGATTTATGACCTGGAGTAACAGAGTGGCCCTCTCTGTGTATCATATCTATACATCTATACAGGTAAATAAAATTTAAATGTCTACTTGTAATGTCAAAATAACAGCTTTTTACTTAATAGATACATATGAAAATATATACGGTACTTGTAATTAAAAAAAATGTCGGTCTATCTGTTTGTTCAGGCTAATCTCCGAAACAGTTGGACCGATTTTGACGGGACTTTCATTGGCAGATTATAATTTTTTTTTATTAAAATATTAAATAAGGATAAATTACTAGTATGAAATATATGTATGTGTTAGTCAGTTTTTTTGTCTTTCATAAAACAATAAATCAATCTATTTTTGTATTTTAGACATAGTTCATCGTCTGGATACTGAACAGGCTACTTTTATCCCAATTTATCTATTAGCTATCGTAGGATAATAGCATATTGCAGAAGGTTATTGAAGGACGCACACAAATTGCACATTTATGTGTTTTTATAAAATTCTTGACATATCCTCTAATTTTTATTATTACAATGCTACATAAATAAATATACGTATAAATTATGTAAAATCTCACGATTATTACCTCGACCTTAATCCATGAGACATGCTTAAGGAAGTATAAAACATTTTTGCTAATTGTGGCTATTTAATTATTAATTTAATTCTAGTATTTAATTTTTACGAACATAAAATTAAATTTTTAATTTAATTGAAGTATAAAATTTTAGAACTTAATTTTGCAAACCTAAATATTTAAGTTTTATGAAGAGTGGGTTTTAACTAAAGTCATATGTTAAAGAAAGATATTCCCAAGGAGGATTGATGTCAGACAGGCGGCCGGGCGCAAAACTTTTGCCAAATCCTATCAGCAATACGGAAGATGTACTGCACCGATCCCAAATAATCGGGAAATAGGCAGGGAGATGACGATGATGATATGTTAAAGACATGTTGAAAAGTCATATGTTAAAAATCTATGACCTTTTAATGTGGAATCAACAAAGTTGTGCCTATTATTATATTATCGAAGGTCAATGACATTTCCATTATAGATACTAAGTATATAATATATATACATATCCAGTATACAGGTGAGGCGAAAAATCCCGATACGAAGAAACAAAACCTAACACGCGAACAAATTGACTTGATGATTCATATGCCGTGGAAGGTCGCACACATTTGAGACGATATCCGTCATCATTCGGAAGTAACAGAGTCGAAAATCGCACGAGATTCGATTCAGGCATTTTTTTCGGTTTCTGTATCGAAAATTTAAAACAGTACATAGTGTCATTCGACTTGGAAGGATCGTAGTAGTCTGTACGCAAAAATATTTTAATTATAACCTAAGTTATGATTTTTTCTTTAGTCTATACCTCGTATTAAGGTTTTTAGTTTGGTGGCGTGTTGTGTATTTTTGTGTTACTCAAGTGATGATAGTTGTTTTGATTCAAAAGTATAACGTCACGTGCTATAAATACTACCTTATACTGTGATTGTCGGCTAATAATTGCGTCACGAGTGTCATATATATAACTAGCATTTCCCGCGGCTCCACCCGCGTTCAGATGACCAAAAACCAAATTCTTAGGTTTTACATATAAGTATACTTTTATAATGCAGTTTTTGTATTTATTCTCAGAAATGAAATATTTTCCCGCGGTAAAAAGTATCCTATATGTTGACCCGGATAACCAGCTATCACCATACCAAATTTCATCAAAATCCCTCCAGTGGTTTTTTCCGTGATGCGGTAACAGACAGACAAAAATTCTAAAAACTATAGATTCGGCCTCTGTATCAATAGTAATGTCTATTTCAATAAGATTTTCCAAAAAAATATTTAATGTACAGGTTCGACTTAGTTAGAATTTTATTATATGTATAGATTGGTGTATTTCAGTTATATGTCCTTTAAAGAAGTTTATGAGTAACTTGTTTTGTGATATATTGGAATGATCAACTAAAAATATTTTAATAACGAATGCCTACGCTATGCTAAATAATTATTAATAAGAATATATCTTTCTATATGAATGCTAATGCATTATTAAATATAAAAAAAAGGATAAAACTAATAATAAAATTAGGGACTATTTAAGAGTACGATAAAGTAATTTCTTACTTGTCAGTTATGTTTTGTGCAAAGGTAAAACAGAATGTCCATTTATACTTCATTCCGGTTTCCGAGATTCAAGTCCAATGAAAATGATACTTAGACAAGTAGAACCGGTTCCGAGTCTTAAAAGTCCTCTCATACGCGCTGTTATCGTGGGACCACCTGTGTTTCTGTTTATATTCTACATTTTATATTGAAATTAATTGCGTTATACATTTTTTACAAGTCGTTGCTAGATAATTACAACAGTCCATATAAGTCCCGTGTTTTTTGTTTTAACTATGATTCTGCACATATTTTAGTTTACGTAATTTATATGTAGGATCTATTCAACTGAGTGCTTAATTTTTTTTTTTGACATATTCTTAACATTAAATTTGTTAAAATAGTATTATATTACTTAGAAGTATTAACGAACCGTCTTGCTCTTTTATTTAAGACCATTTGAAATGCTATTCATAGAGGTCAAAAGTGAAGTTTCATAAATTAAGTTTTCTGCAGCTTTTACTATAATTAGTTAGAATTTTATCATATACGATCTAGAGTTTAGCTTATTATCAAATAATGTTAATCAAACAATATTTAATTCAATAACAAGTCGTCAAATATTAACATAAGCAATAATAATATTAACATATATGTAAATAATAAGTTACGTATCTTTTATTTTTGCATGTCCATAACATTGAAATGAATAGTGATACTGTGTAAATAGATAACGTGTGACTGTAAACTACTTGCCATCACAGACATGTCGCATCTTCCGCGGTCCTCGTGACTCATTACGCTCGATCGATTCATCTTAATTAGATCTCTTGCTGTTTTCACATTGAATGTGAAAAATATTTTGCCAAGTGGTCTCTAAAAAGTGAATTTTGTGGTGTTTAACATGGCTAAAGGGAAAAGTGGCAGACGATGTAAAGGGAAAATGTGTCATATGTTCCAATTTTTTGGGTAAGATATTCTTTCTGTATTGAATTTTGAAGAATATTATGTTGTAAATTATGTACATGTATGAAGATTGTAAACATTGTGAAAACGTTTTATTTTTTCTCTTTTGAAGTTCTCAGAATTATTTTATTTTAAACCTAACAATGTACCGAACATCTGTGTAAACCACTTTATTTCCAATAATTTTCCCATCATCCAATAAATCCGAGCCCCATATTTCCACTTTACAAATTCATTTGATGCAATGTTAAGATCCGTGAATGACGTAAACTTAAAGATGACGTGAGAAAATTACATATATTTTCCATGTAGACCACAATTCCACCCGTTTTTTATTTCCTCATAGACATCAGAAACCTTGCTCTAAAATTTACATAAATAAACATAGAATTCCCTTAAAATGTTATTTTTATTAATAATCTAACTAAATAGGATGAACCTTGTCAGATTGTTATCAGATAAATGCTTAGAGTGATAAATTAATCTCTATTTAACGAGGGCTTCGAACACAAGGGCTATGCTTTATTAGCTTAATTCTCCAAGTAGGTATATACTTCAGCGAATGGCACTTACGTCACATAATTTGGAAACTTTTATTATGAACCTTGACACACGTAAACCTATTTTAACTGGCCGTTAAAAATATATACAAATAGTTTGCCAATATACTATACAAGTAAGAAATTTTCATTCATCAATAGATCAAGGTCATACGCCGTTGTAATAACTTTGTATTGACTCATGCACAGATTACGATACTAGGTGTTTGCCAATAAAAAAATAGATTTATAAAAAAATAATATGTTGGGACATTAACACACAGCACCATCTAGTTCCATGGTAAGCTACGAGGCTTGTGTTATGGATACCAGATAGTTGATTACACTTCACATATATATAATTTTAAATACATACATACGAGTATTATAAATATAGCTTTATACAGAAGTTGTAATGAAATTTAATCTCTTAATACATGTATATTTCTCTTATTTTACTGCTGATTTACATTCGACTGATGACACGAGTCACTACTTTGTTTTTATCTATTGCACTATAGAAAATCAAAATTATTGGAACTTTTTACACTATGAAGTGATAAGCCAAAATCCATATGCTGTCCTTTTAGAAGTTACCAATTTTTTAGCAACTAAGATTCATTTTATTGATTAGTTACTTCGATCAACATTAGTGTTGTTGATCGAAGATAGTTAAGATATTTAATGTTAGTATTTCTTACGTAAAAACTAACTTTGCAAAGACTAAGTTAATCCCATCCCATTATACTAATATTATAAATGCAAAAGTTTGAGCGGAGGGATGTTTGTTACTCAATCACGCCAGAACGGCTGAATGGATCTGGATAAAATTTGGCAAAGAGATAGATTATAGTCTGGAATAGCACATAGGTTATTTATTTTTTATCCCGGAAAAATGTGCGGTTCCTGTGGAATGATTTGTTTTTGTTTTTCACACAGTTTTTCTATTCCATACTAACCGTTAAAACGTACGTAGTCGCTAGTAGATAATAACTATGAAAATTATCTTACAATAAGATAGGTACTGCTGCTGGCTATAATGATCTAAGTGTTGATAAATTGTAAAATAATTATCATTACTTCCTCTGTTCGAGTGGAAATATTCTTACGTCATGTCTTACACAGTGAGTGTTAAATCACCCTGTTTTCGTTTATCGCTCGGCAATTCGCAATACAACTCGATTTCATAACAGCGGGACACGCGATGATATTTTTTTTTATTACACTTGTTAACTTTTCATAACAAATTGGTGCATGTGCCTTGAGAATTGAGATGTTATTATATTGTATTTAAAAATAGATTAAAATTAATAACAATATTTAAGCTGTATTATACGAGTAGCTCTTTTCATCTAAGTAGAAACTTCAGATGAAATTTCTAACTTGTTATCACTATCTCTTATTTAAATAAAAAGGGAGATCATAATTAAACTATCACTATATAAAAAATACTATGTGCAAGTGTCCCCGTTCTGAAATTACCAAATTCTTATTATGAGAACTGTATTACTGTAATATACCTACATTTAAATTAACCTTTCAATTCCCTTGTCACCAGAGGGGCGGTGTGTGAGTGTCGCACCGCCATGTCGCACCACAGCGACGAGCAAGCGCTGCTTACGGTCACATCGGACTCCTTCTGGGAGCCAGGAAACTACAAACGCACCACACGCCGCATCGATGACGGCCACAGGCTTTGCAGTGAACTACAGGCGTTGGTGCAAGAGCGTGCCGATATAGAGAAGACGTATGCCAAGAGTTTACGAGGATGGGCGAAGAAATGGAACGACCTTATTGAGAAAGGTGAGTGGTACTCTCATCTACATTACTATTATAAAGATGAAAGATTTGTATTCATAAATAAACATACGTTTTTAACGAAAAAACTCAAAAACTACTGGACCGATTTAGATGAAATTTGATAAGAAGATAGTTTGAGACCCTGGGGGTCCTTCACCTAGGATAATTTTTATTCTGGAAATCATCCTTAGGGGGGTGAAAATGGGGATGAAAGTTTGTATGGGGAATCAACCTAGGGACGACTCCGAACGAGGGTGAGTCGCTAGTGTTTTATAAAGATATAAGGAGATATAAGGAGAGATGGATAGCAAAAAAGAATGCATGTTTTTCTTAAATTATTGTAATTTTGCATTTGGGTCAATTTGCCTTACTGAAAATTTATAAAAATTTAAGGTGACTTCACGTTTTATTTCTAGTTAGTCTACTATTTTAGGAAATGTATAATGACTAGGTACTGTAGCGGTTTCCAAGGCCGCAAATTTACATGTTATTTTACTCACGAGACAGATGTTCCTTTGTCGTGTTTGTCTGAATTTCTGTATATAATTAAGTATTACGTGTCACAATTCTGAATTCACCACCTGCCTTACAAAACACACAGTAGCCACAGTAGCAGTCTTCGTGAAACATTATCATTCACTGTCAAACATACACAATAGGAATAAGTTAAAGCATAGATTAGTGTAACTCGTTCATCTGACATTTATTAATAATTGCACTACTTCATGCGTACCTACCTAATATGCAATAATATGAAACCGAAACTCGAGATGTTCATTTAATGTTATTGTACAAGTTGTAAGTAATAGAAAGGAATGCACATCGGTAATGATGCGAATCCGATAGCCATCTTTATCTGGATTGGCATTTAAATAACAGGTGATCACTAAATTTGCTTGTCCGCCAAAGGTCAGGTCATTAGTGACGGACATGCGTTGCGAATCGCGAACTGTTCGTGGTTAGAATGGTATAATGTCCTTATTTACTTTTTGCCCAAAATATGAAAATTGACGTTCACTTGGTATCTAAATTATTTAGGTATTTGCGGCTCATCCTCGCTCCGTTCGGGTTCGTCCCTAGTTACGTTTAAACGTTTAAACGTTTAGGATAGTTTTCTCCGAGATGAGATATTGTCCGGCAATGAAAAGTATCCTATGTGTGGACCCGGATAACTAGCTACCATCATACCAAATTTCATCAAAATCTGTCTAGTGGTTTTCTCGTGATGCGTTCCCAGAAATTCTAAAAACTATAGATTCGGTCTCTGTATCTATAATTATAATGTAGATGTCAATAAGATTTTCCAAAAAATTATTTCATGTACAGATTCGACTGTTAGAATTTTACTATATGCAGGTATAGATGTATTTAGAAAACCCAATAGACGCACCACACTTATTGTGGAGTAAGATAAAGAGAATATACTTATTTCACTATGAAGCGTAATACTAATATCTACTGCTAATGCTGCCAAAATGTCAATACAAATTTTCTTTCTGCGAGATTCGAACCTATAACCACTAGTATACCTTGGACTAAATACATACATATCTCTCTTCTTTGTTTAGGACACACGGTTCAATTAAATATAGAAAATACAGATAAATTCGGTAACACGATACCATTGATGTTTGTTTCATTGCCGGAAATTCATTCATAATCAAGTTTATTGATGGATCGCTGCCCCTTTCAGCTGTCAGCGTTCATCTAAGAAAAGAGGACTCGCCTGCTCTAGAACAGTGCGCCCGCATAGTATCGTGTTTGTACCGGCTCGCAAAACTTTATTTCCAATCTGTTTTAAACCAGTGAATAAGCATTTTATATTATTTGCACATTCAGTATAATTTCTTTTCTAGAAACCCGGGAAATTTAGTATTATTTTGCGAATTCGCACATATATGTTAGTGAATGACAATTCTATGGAATTGTATCGCGCAAAAGTGCAATTATTCTATTTTATTCGTTATATTTTAAGTATTTTAAATGTCGGACGTTAAAATATTCTAAGAACTAACGTGTTTTGTGATGAAAATTAAACTGCGCGCTTTCTTTTAAATAGTGTTAATATCAAATTCGCGCAACTGATTGTGTATGTCATTTTTATTATTACAGCCTTGCCATCTTACTGTTCCTTATCTAGATTGCTGTTACAATGCAAGTTGATAAGTTTTTACAGGTAATTTCTGTTTAAAAATTTCATGATTAAAATACATATTAAACCATGCGGTGTGTGGAATGTTTTAGTATTAATTATAAGTTTTTGCGAGTACTATCTTTTATGTAAATAGGTAAAGATAAAAACGTTCAGTAGGTACCTGTTTACTCTGTTTGCTGAGAGACTTTCTTTTTTTTTCTTTAGGAAACAGTTTTAACAATGATGTTCTCCTGACCGATACTCGGTCTCTCGGTACTTCCAAACTCCAGGCTGTTACTGACCCGACATTACTTACTATTCAGAAAGACTCAATAACTAAACTTGGTTCGACCCGGGACTCGAACCCAGGATCCCCGGGTGTGCAGCCGTATATGCTAGCCACTACACAACCGAGGCAGTTTTAACAAGAATTTATTATCGAATCGTTTCGATCACTGGGAAAGCCTAGGTAGTAATAATTGATGATAAATATTCTTCGGGTACTATAATAAAGCTAAATATTCTTTTGATATTATTCAATAAGTAAAAGAACGGCTAGATTAGTTTATTAGTAGTAAATAAGCGTATCAGAATAAAAAATATTACTTTTAACAGCTTCTTGCTATCTTTATCCAGAGGTCATGGATTACTTCTGAAACATGTCTTATTTCTTACTCATAAGAAGAACTATGAGTTTGCTACTTGCGGTCTGTTATAAATACCACACCTCGTTTTAACTTGAGACTAAATATTAACCTAACTGTCAGCCGCCCTTTTGATTTCTCAAAACTTTACACCGCAGACGAGCTTCAGCGATTTTAAAAAAAAATCTAATTTGTGGAAGTGACCACTTGATATACTGCCGTAAAAAGTAGGACATATCCCTCAAGTCAATTATATCTTAGAATTGAATCGTAATTCTGAAAAAAAAAACTCAAAATCAAAAAAAAATATCGACTTATTACAATAATAGAACCTACTATCCCCTCCTTATGGAATAACTGTTTAAAAATTATATCACTGAGCATGTATAAAATGTTGTCGAGCCATGAATGTTTCGAAGAATGCTCGAAAATATATTTAATGTTACAAATAATGCAAACACACAGTTGTTCGACTTGTATAAACAGTTATTACGCATCTATCAAATCGATTATTCTCAATAGATTTATATAGATAGAAGTAGATGAAGTGGAAAATGGAAAACGTTTTGTTAATGCGAGAGTAATATTATATTTAAATAGTTTATCGTGCATTGATCTTCGATATTAATCTCACTACTATAATAAATGCAAATGTTTGTATGTATGTTTATATAGGTTTATTACACCTAAACGCCAAAATAGCTGGACAGATTTAGATGACATTTAGCACACTGATACTGTGTGATCTGGAATAACGTATAGGCTACTGTTAGTAATAGATATAAATAGGTAAAACAATGTCGGGTTAGTAACACCATTTACAACTCAAGAACAGCTGGACCGATATATGGATCTTTGATTTGTTGGACTTTTTTAAGCCCGAATAGCAGAATGACTATTAAAACATCGGAAAAATTCACGAAAAAAAATTACATGGCTAACGTTGGCTAATAACAATTTATATCTCTTTAAAACGTATCTAGGGACGCATCCAAGCGAAGCGAGGTTAAGTCGCTAGTATATGTATATATGTTTATATGTTTTATATGTCTCATATATAATACGTAGTAAATATGTCTATAATTCCTAGTCATAGCTGGTTCTTTAATACCCATCGGTAGAACTGGAGGGCAAAAAATTTTAGGATAAAAAATAGCGTGTTTTCGTAAGGAAATGGATGACGGCTAAGAATTAATTTACTGAAATTAAACCCCTAACTGGACAAAAAAGGGTCTAGCCATAGTAGGGCTGCCAGTTTTAGTTATATATTTTCAATTTAAACTACGGAGTACAGACGGTGATGTTGATCCATTGTGAGGCGAAATTCGAATTGTATGGTATTTGCTCACGTATTTTCATTAAAGTTATTTTAATTAAAGCTTCAGTCACTAAAGTATTTAAAACACAAAAACATCTAGGAAATAAGTATATTGAATATACCTAGCTTTATAGTCTATTTGCGTTTTTATTAAAGAATTCTTATGAGATGGTTGGGATAGGGACATGCTTATTAAAGGCAAGCGGTGTTAGATCAGCGACGACGTTATTGCGATTCGAAACGCATCACATAATAATAATTTGTGCCAGAAATAGAAATTGTAAGAGAAAGGTTCCGTAAACATTTTAACATACTGGAACTCGCCTGTTGTAATGTTTATTCATGTAATATTTAATTTTAGTTTCTTTTAATGTCTTTTAAGTGGGCTTCTTTATTATATTTTCAACCGACTTCAAAAAGGAGGAGGTTCTCAATTCGACTGTATGTTTTTTTTTTTTTTATGTTTGTTACCTCAGAACTCCGTCATTTATTAACCGATTTGGACAATTTTTGTTTTGTTTGAAAGGGTGTACTTCCAGATTGGTCCCATTTAAATTTCAAAAAAAAATACCACCCCTAAGGGTGGAAAAACAACTAATGATGAATTTAACGTACTTCTAATTGTCATATTGACTTAAAACTTTGCAAGTATTTCTATTTCCGTTGATAGTACAGTGGTTCGGTGTTGTTGACCTGATCTGATGGCAAGGCCAGAAGGTGGATAGGTGGAACTCTTCAACGGCTAATAGTAGATACTTTGAGTTTGGGCTTATTTTGTTTGATTTGACAAGCCTAACACGTTAGAATCCTTACATTGCTACTACTGTCTACACTAAAAAGGGAAAAATAAAAACTTTTTAACAAAAAAATAAAAACCGACTTCAAACAAAAGCACTAAAAAGTAACA